CATGTGGCCGGTCATCTAGTAGACATGCATCAGACTGTCTGCTTAGGATAACCTCTCACCTTACTAGGATGACATAAAACTAGCCCTCTCTTCTCCCTGCTCAAACAGAACGATTCACTAGTAAAGACTTTGTGGGTCCCGAGGCAACCCCTGTGCCATGGGCACGCTGGACTCCCAATGAGGCAGTGACTCCAGAGTATTCCTCGGCCCCTCATTTGCAGGAAAAAAAGGAAGGTGGTCCCAGAGGTCTTCCGCTGTTAATTGTCGATTTTTCCCTGTGCAGATCCTAAAGTTTGTGTCCTAGCCTAGGTACCTCACAGACAGAGAGAATGATGGGACTGGATCTCAGTCCCCCAGGAAGTCCTAGGCCCATGGGAGAAATAGAGAACTGCGAGGTTCTAATGTATGGATTACTAAGTGTAGAGCCAAGGGAGTAAGGATATAGGACCTTCAGGGTGAGAACTGTGCTCCAGCTTTCTTTTACGAAGTGTTTGCCATACATTGGGTACTGTTTTAAATGTTCACAGACGTGAACCCCCTGATGCTAGTATGATATAATTCCTAAGATGACCATGCTTTTACAATAAGGAACTCAGAGATTGCGTACAGCCAACAAGTTACAGAACCAATGATCTGAAAGCAGAACTCCTCTCCCAAGATGATCAGAAACTCATATTATGCAAGTCAACAGGACCATTCTGATTAGCCCATGTGACCAACAGGGCCCTGAACCCCACTTGTTTCTCTTGGTAACACATTGCCTTGGGATACCAGAACAGTAGCAAAGACTGGTCCAGCTCAAGCCTGTCTAGTGATGACTTTCTGGAAGGAGATATTTCTGACTTGGGGATATGATATTATGACGAAGGAGACAGTTGCTGGTGAGGCATAAAAAACATTAGCAACCTGATATAGATGAGAGTTGTACTCTGGACCTGAAGCCAGGATGAGTGAACAGGGACAAGGCAAGAGCCAGTGGCCTGCTAAGTCCTTGGAACATCTGACAGCCATAGACATTATAGAATTATTTTAAGAATGAAGTGGTATCATTCAATGGCTTGGAGGGAGGCCAGATCATTAGGTGGACTAATTAGGAGACGATTACAATAATAAGGCAATAAATCTCAACTAGATGCTTGTTGTTGGGATAAAGAAGGAAAAAAATTGCGTTTGAGAGACACTCATGGATACAGATGTCTGGGCGCTTTATTTATTAGCCCAAGACATCCCTCATCTGAAGATAAAGGACAAGACCTGCTCCATCTGGACTAGGTCCCCTTACAGCAGGTGCTAACCTTGAAGAATGTGGGCAGGTTCCCCAGGCTACCTGTCTGCTCACCACACTCGCAGGCTATGATCCCAGGTCTCCTAGGGTCGCCGTTACCAAACACTCATGTTTGACATGCACTACAAATGGAAACTCACTCACTTAGACATCTGCTAAGGGCTGGGAATATAGCTCGGTTGATAGAATGCTTACCTATGAATGAAGCCCTGGGATTGATACTCAACACTGTACAAGCTAGGCTTAGTGGTGTACACCGGAGCCCCAGACCTTGGGTGGTAGAAATAGAAGGATTGGAAGTCATTTACAGCTACAAAGGGAGTCTAGGGATAGCCTGGGCTACATGAGACTCTTTCAAAAACAAAAATCTATTGAACAGCCTTTGATCATCATTCCCTAGGTCTGAAACACTTCTTGATCTGCGAGAGCCCAGTGCTCTTCCAGTGTGGCTCCCTGGTAGTTTCTGTTTCATGTCCCCTCCTTACTCCTATGAACCTGCTCCTTCTCACCCACATCTCTCAAACTTTGCCATGCAGACAAGTCACCTAGGAATATTACTAATAACCAGATCCTGAGGTGATGGTTGTGGGTAGGGCCCAAGACCGGCTGATTCTCAGAAGAGCCCAACAGACAGCCTTAGAAAGGTAAATGCATAGATTTCTCAGAATCTGTAGGGTGAAGCCAGCCCCTTGAGGAGGCGGGTTTGCCTCGGGCGAATGCATACCGATAAATGGGCACTCGGGAGGCAGCTCCTCCCTTTTTTCTTTCCTACCTCCTGGGCAACGCAGGAACCTAGGTTCTGTAAGTTTATCATTAAAGTTGTAAATATTCTTTAATATCTGCATTGCATTTATTTACGCCGATACAAGAATCACCTGACGATAAAGCAATGAGAACAGTTGTTTTTAATCCTCTATGCAGAAAAGCCACATATAGTAAAATGCACAGACCTTAAATCTATAATTTGATGGATTTTGGAAAATATATACACCCCTTTCTGGGCAGTTATAGTGCACACCTTTAATCCTAGCACTTGGAAGGCAGAGACAGGTGGATCTCTGTGAGTCTGAGGCTAGCCTGGTCTACAAAGCGAGTTCCAGGACAGTCAGGGCTACACAGAGAAATCCTGGAATGTCAGTATTTCTAGAAGGTTTCTACTCAACATTAACTTCTGTATGTGCATGTGTACATATGTATATTTTATATATGTATATATTATATGTATGTATGTATATATGATATATACACACAGAGACCAGTAAAGAATGTCAATATTTCTGGAAAGTTTCCAATCAACCTTCATTTCTGTGTTTACACACACACACACACACACACACACACACACACACACCTGTGGCCTCAATAAAGAATGTCAATATTTCCAGGCAGCAGTGGCACATGCCTTTAATTCCAGCACTCGGGAGTTTGAGGCCAGCCTGGTCTACAAGAGCTAGTTCTAGGACAGGCTCCAAAGCTACAGAGAAGCCATGTCTCAAAAAACCAAAAAAAAAAAGGTCAATATTTCTAGAAGTTTCCATTCAGCCTTCATTTCTGTTGCGATGACAAAATACCCTGACACAAAAAATTTGAGGGCTGGAGAGTTAGCTCAGTGATTAAGATCACTGGCTACTCTTTGCTTCTCAGCACCCACATCAGAGAGCTCACAACTGCCTGTAATTCTAGCTCCAGGAACTCCATTGCCCTTTTCTGGCCTCTGGAGCTCCACCATCTGTGTGGCTCATGCACAGAGAAATACATACATACACATAAATGAAAAGAAAATATTTTAAAAGCAACTTCTGTAGCTTACAACCCCAGGTTGCAGTCTTTTGCCACAGAGACAGGGGCTTGCAGCAGCCAGTCACTTAGTCATGTAGAGCAGAGGGGGACAAATGCATGCTTGTTTACTTGCTTGCTCTCGGTTGACTTTCTCCTCTCTTATACTGATCAAGAATGCTTGCCCAGGGAATGGTGCCGCCCACAGTGGCCTGGGTCTTCCCACATCAATTAACACTCAAGGCAATCCCACAGACATGCTCCTGGGCCAGCCTGATCCTGACTTTAGAACTCTCTTCAGAGGTGACTCTAGCTGTCAAGTTAACAGTTAAAACAAGTTTCCTGTTCCTCTTTCCATTCAATCCCAAGTAAAGATGGTTCAACCCAAAATGTCATAGTCCAAGGGAATAGTTTTTTGATTCAAGAGGTTTGATCTAAAAAGGTTGTATTAGCATTTCTAGAGGAACAGAACTGATAGGATGAATATATTCATACATATTCATATATATTCATATATATATATATGATTGATTGATTGATTAAAGTGGTTTATAGGTTGTAGTCCAGCTAATTCAATAATGGCTATCTACCAAAGAAAAGTCTAAGAATCTAGCAGTAACTCAGCCCATGAGTTGGTCTTCAGTATAAACCAGGGGGCATGGGACCTACTTCTTCCTAGTAGACCCCACCTGCTACCCTTTCACCAGCTCCCAATAATATCATGATCATATGCATTTACCAAGGGGTTAGCCTATTCATTATGTCTGCATCCTCAAGATCTCAGTCTTTCTAGAGATGCCAATCCCACAGGAACCAGAGGAGTAATTTACTAACATTGTACGTGATGTGGTGTGTGTGTGTGTGTGTGTGTGTGTGTGCATAGTGTGTGTGTGTGTTTGCACAGTGTGGAGGCGTACTGATTGTGTGCATGGAGCCCCAAGGTTGACTTCAGATATAGTCCTTAATTATTAACTAGACTATATATGGAGAAGCAGGTTCTCTCGCTTAGACCTGGAGGCCACGGATTCAACCATTTATTTGCCCAACCTGTTCTGGTGACTCGCCACCGTCTCCAGCTCCTACTGCCTTGGTGTTGCAGGTGGTCCACCAACCCCACTCCATGTTTGCTGAGTGGAATCCAAACATAGTAAGCACTTTACCCGCTGAGCTGTTTCCGCCACCTCCTTCTCCTTGTTTTTAGTCTGCTCAAGCTGTCTGCCAAGATTTACCATCATAGATTTCAACATACGGTCTCTGAGAAGACATAAACACTCAGACAGTAGCAGGAGCTCAGCTCTGACAGGTGACAGGCAGGGAGCATGTGAGAGCTCCCTGAAAGAGAACTGAAGGGCGGCATTTGTGATCAGGCCAGAGAGGATGAGAGGAAGCATTTTAGTCGTCATCTGCCTGCCTCTGCCTCCTAAAAAGTGGGGTGAGAGATGTATGCCACCACACTCAGCTGCTCCTCTGCTCCTTGAAAACCTTGGCCCTTACTGGTCACCTCTCATCTTCCTAGCAGGCCTATGGTAAGACATAGGCCACGCTTTCTCTTTTATGGTTATGGAAGCTGAGGTTTGAAGAGGTTGATTTAAGTGCATACATTAATCAGCTAGGAAGCAACACCTCTGGCCTCCAGGAAAGCTGTTTCCTACCCCACAACTCTCCCTGGAACGACAGAGGCCAGTCAAGTGGCAGGAGTCACAAGTGCTTGCCAGGGATCCAGACTATACACAGTATATGAATAAAAGCGGTCCTGGATGGCAGGACCAGGCCACCAGCACTCTCTACAATCTATTCCTTGCCAGGTGAATCTCAGAGCTGCCTGAGGAATCTCCTTGCTGAGGAATGATGCTTGCCTCCCTGGGTCATGGGTTCCCCAGCGCAGACTAACCCTCTCCCCAGATGATACTAACTAGCATGTGTCCTCTGTGTGTTTCAGCCTCTTGCTTCCCACTGCTACACCATGAAAATCCTGCTTAGTGACGTTCTGCTGCTGAGCCTGCTCTCCAGCGTGTTCAGCAGCTGTCCCAGGGACTGTCTCACCTGCCAGGAGAAGCTCCGCCCAGACCCTGGCAGCTTCGACTTGAAGGTATGTCTAGAATTACCCTCTTCCTTAATCTCTCCTCCCTTTGACTCCAAAGCAAATGCTAAACGAGACATTCAAGTCTCCCCCAGAGGTCACAGGACTTATGCCGTGTAGTGTGACCAAGAGGAAACAGGTGGAGCTGAGCTGCATCTTCCAACTATGACCCCTGTGGTCCTCCCTCTTTACCATCAGATCCCTGTGCTCCTCCCTATCACCAGGTCCCTGTGCTCCTCCCTACCACCAGGTCCCTGCGCTCCTCCCTACCACCAGACCCCTGTGATCCTCCCTCTCTGATACCAGATCCTTGTGATTCCCCCCTCTACCACCAGATCCCTATGGTCTTCCCTTTATACCACCAGACCCCTGTGATCCTCCCTCTCTACCACCAGACTCCCGTGGTTCTCCATCTTCATCTTCCAATAAATATCTGTTCATGATGCCCCTGTCCCAATGTTATGCATAATACATGTATAGAAGGAAAATTAAAATCTTCTTCAAGCCCATGAATTAACCCCTTTACTCTTTGCCATGACAAAAATCGTTGAGACTTAAGGAAGGGTTTATGTTGGCCGACAGTCTGAGAGCACAGTCCATCAGGCAGGAGACAGCATGGAGGCAGGAACTTGAGTTGGGGAGCATAGAGATGAAGGCTGGGACTCAGCTCATGTCTTCTTCATCCAGGCTCGGACTCCAGCTCTAGGGGTGGGGCTACCCAGACTCACGGTGGGGTTCTCAGCCTCAGTAGAATCTCTCTTGAAACAACCTCATCAACTGTGTCTCTTCTACAATACTCAACCCCTCAAGTTGACAATAAAGATCTACTGCTAGATTATATTTATGTTACATTATACTCCAAAAACCAGAGAGAATCTTACTTTTCTTACTTTCTGTAGTGTCGCAGAATTAATATTCTCATGTTATTACAATTATTTCAAGGGCTTTCTTTCTATGAATATATAACTTACTCTCCATTCCCTGTCTGAAGAACATGTATAGTATCATCCATTTTTTATACTGCAAATACTTCTACAATGAGCATCCAAAATGCTCTCTTGTGTTTTAAATTTCCAGCTTGAAGTACAAAACATTAAATTATTATTCATTAAATGAGCTGCTTTCTTACTCTTTTAATTTCAGCTTAGATAGAGATTCTCTCCTATGAAATGCAGAATAATTCAATTACTTTTTTCCCTTGAAGTCAATAAAGTTGCTGTCAAGGCGCCATGCTTCCAGCCCTCAGCTTTCGAAACGAGCAAGTAATTGCTGTTCCTTAAAGCAAAGAGGCAGACACAAAATGCAGTGTCGCTGGTACCCAACACACCTTGCTATCTCCCGGCTCCAGGAAGAAACAGACAAGCACTACACTCTTGCAGGCCTGGTCGCACCTGTCATCTGGGCAGGAAGGCACAATCAAGCAATCAGGAAGGGCAGCCTAGATGAACCTGGATGGGATGTGTTTCTGATGCTCATCCATCCTACTTTCCTCTAGGCATCTGTCTATTCAGAGGGCATCTCATTCTTCAAGAGACATCTCCTGCTTCTCTTACCTAGCCTATGGGTCTCTTCCCTCTACCTACTGTTTCCCAGCCTTTTGTATTGGCCTCTGTTCCTCTGCCGAATCCCTCAACAGGGATGGCAAGATGCATGTTTCTTGCCCCCCTGCCCCTCTCCTTCTGAGATGTCACTACTTTCGCTGGTTTTTCTCTCTCAGGCTGCAGGTAACTGAAAAAGGGGCCCCTGACCCTCTCTCACAGGCTCCCAGATCCAAGGCACTCTTTACAGCTCCCAGGGAACCCTGAATTTCTTTGCTGTCTTGCTACCTTGCACCTGCCTCTCCCTTCCCCTACCCACCAAATCTCACTTGCACTTCAAGGCCAAAGCCAAGCTTCACCTTATAACAAACACACTGTTCACTCACAAAGGGAAAAGGTGAGGATAGAGTGGAGTTTGGATCTGAAAATACACAAGAGAATCAGAGATAAAGCTAAGCAGTACACGGGAAAAAGGAAAGAGAGGCTTCTAGGAGACAGGAAGTTCTGGAGGGTGAGGCCAAGGTCAGGACCAGCCAGGAAGAGCTGCAGAGATGGAGTGGCCAGCTTACCACTCCTCTAGACATGGTGGTGCTTTGGAGAAACAGCAGCAGCAGAGTTCCTGGCACTCTGGGGTCTGGTTTGGGCACGAGAATGAGCCCTACAGGGTAGATTGCATGTGCAGCCTCACGAACGCCCAAACTGCCTGTATCCAGGCCATGGCTGTAGATCACACACAGATAGGGGTGGCCACTGTACAAAGGCTGAAAATTAAAACCACCAGGTTTGTTCTCTCCACAGTGACCTTTATTTTCAATATACATGCAGACTTAACCACCTACTCCCACACCGTCAGTTTCTTTAACCAATCTGACCATGAACTTCATGAGGAAATGAAATAAAATTCTTCTTCCTGGAGCTGATGCTCGTGGGTTGAACTTATTCTGCCCCTTGGTGCTATGCTCCCCCCCCCCTTCCCCCGCCTCTCTTTGACTAAGGTATGAGTTCCTTTGCTAACCTAACTAGGTACCCCAGCATGGGGCCCTGTGTGTGGCCCACAACAGGGCTCAGACAGCTGACTTGTGGAAACTGTATGATTCTCAGACTGGCAGGCTCCTTGCTGGGCACATCCCGGCAGCCACTGTAAGGTCTCACATTTGGGTCTTTCGGTGGTGGAGAATTGGAAGTGTGCTTCTATCCCCTCTCCATTAGCATCTCAGGTCTTTGGGGTCCAGACAATACTCACTTTACTTCCTAGAAACAAGTCAGAAAATGGATTGGTAAAAGCCTCACAGTTGGAGACAAACGCTTTACAGTGCCTGCTGGCCCCCCAAGGATTCTGTTGCTTGCTTGTTTTTCTCTTTCTAGTTCTTATTCCCTTTTAACCCATTTTAAATAGAACAAAATTCCAAAGGCATAAGCAACTGTGTCTCGTTTTCTGAGCCTGCCAATCTTGCCCACGTCTGCTTTGATGAGGGGAATGATGGAGGGGACACACGTTTCAGCCAGGGTCACCTACCAGTCCCTCTACCACATTACATAATCCTGACTTGCTCCCAGGATCCTCAAGACACTTGGTTCCATCAGAAATTTTTCTATTTCTACTCCTGGTAGGTGGCTCAAATATGGTTGACTTTTTGTTAGACTATAATTTCGATCAGCAAATGACTCGCCCATTGCAGTGTCCTCTGGTTCTTCAACTGATTGTCGGTGGTACTTATTCCATCAGTTCAAGAGAAGAAACTAAATTCACAGAGTTATTTTAGAGTCCAAGACAAAAACAATACACTCTCAGAAAATGTTTTAGGGAAATGCATCTAAAATTCCTACAGCTGTTGCAATAGAAGCTGCCTTCTGGAGTCTCTACCTGCAGCTAGTGAAAATTCTTTGCGGGTGATTTGCAACAGGAGCTCTTCTAATGGATTTTTCCCATAGTGTTCACCTGCTGCCCTGGATAGTGTCATAGTGTCTGCCTTTGAACACACACATATTCAAATAAATAAATATATATATATAAAATAGAGAGAGGGGGTATATACACACAGTTGCCCATAGAAGCCAGAGTGGTATCAGATCCCCTGCAGCTGGAGTTACAGGTGGCTGTGAACCACCCATAAGTGCTAGGACCTGAAGTTGGGTCCTCTATGAGAGCAGTATGTACTCTTAACCACTGAACCATCTTCCCAGCCTCTGAATTTATTTTTCTAAATTTTGCAGTGGTTATGATTGAAACTGCGACTCTGAATGACCAGGCAGGTGGTCATGGCTGAGTTACATCCCGAGCCATGCCTTTGAATGTTTTGGCAAAACCTCCTAGAACAAACAGCTCCTAAGTATGGCTTAGCCTGAAACAGAAACCAAATCACGAAGTAGCTGTCGTCATTCCTCTCAAAGGACTAGTGTATCTGCCTAGCTTGATAAGCAGTGGGAGGCTAGGATATAGGCCTGACCTCTGTGGCTGGGTTACACCCTCAGCCTGTACCCTCACCTTCGATCCAGACATCCAAATGGCCCTTTGCTCAGTCTCTTCAGGAGCCCAGCTTTACAAATCAATTTGGCACCAGTCTAGGATTCCAGATGCTCCTGCAAACTCTGGCTTAATATAGCCCTGTCATCATCATGGCTGAGAAAATGCATCCAGCTCATTTAATAAGCCACTAGTCCATCCCGGGGAAGCAGCTGATGAGGACCCCGGACCAGAGTCTTCAGCGTTAGGCTCCTATGCCCCTCTGGCACTAAAAACGCGGTTGTACATTTAGACAGCCTGGGTTGGCCTCAGACCTTCTAGAGCGACCGTTGTGATGATGTGGTCAGTATCTAATTCATCTAGCGCTGTGTTGAAGCTTGGTAAAGACCGTGGCATCTGGTTCAATCACAAATTTTCATTTTCTCACTGACAAAAATTCCAATTACCATCTGGAATTAGAAGGCCGGGAGTGATCAGCTCCAGTGGCCTCTAGATGTGTCTCTTCTGCCTGCAAACCAAAGGTGCAGAGGATTCAGCGAGCATTGAGGGTTCCTTCTCTGCACAGGAACCAAGGGTACCCAAAGGTTGAGCTGCTTCTAGCCCCACCCTGGGATTCAGTGACCATCCAGTCTAGCCTAATTGTGAGCTCCAAGCCGGTGAGAGACCCTGCCTTGAAGGAACTGAACAGCATTCCTGAGGATGACACCCAGACTGTTCTCTAGCCTTCCCACACACATTCATACACACACATGCATGTTAAAAAAGACACACGTTATGACAGCCAAACGTGTCCAAGCACTAGAGTGTCCAGAACTTAAAAGAACTTAATTGACTGCCTACTAGTCACTATAAAGAGAAGATACTTACCCAGGACTCAAATATGAATAAGATGTGCCCCTAACTTTTTAGATTATGCTTCATAAAGTATTGTGGATATATCTATCTATCATTAAAACATCTCCCTGGATGGAATGCAAAGTTGGGGGGGAACACAGAGGCAAGACAGAGCAATTCTTCCCAAAAAAAAACAAAAAAAAAAAGATAATAAGATAAAGAGACAGAATTAGAACATGTCCAGGTCCATGAGGACAGTGCAAAAGCGTCATTCCAACTGAGAGCACATGGTGACAAAGGCAGGGAGATATATGAGGTATGGGAGAAGCTCTCTGTGCCCAGGGAACTATGAAGGAGAAGGACTTGGAAGTGTGACGTACAGGTAGGCTGGGCCACATGGTACAAGCACTTCTGTGTCCTGGTCAGGATTCTGGAGATGTTGTGAAGACAAGACAAGGTACCAGGCAGTTGTGGGCAGGGTATGATGTGATTAGAATAATTCTCCTAGACCTGCCAGGGCCGAGGCATGAATTTGAGTAGCAAAAAGAGAGATGGGGAGATCGGTGGGAGGCTTCTGTCTTCTAGAAGCACTTACACGGTGGTAGAAGGAATGGGAAAAGAGGCGGGTGCACATACTGCATAGATAGGAGGATAGTAGGGAGAAGAGAGGCAAAAATGTACTCAGAGTTTAAAATCTCAGAGCTGGAGAGATGGCTCACTGGTTAAGAACGCTTCCTACTCTTCTAGAGGACCTGAGCTCGGGTCCCAGCACTCACGTCTAGCAGTGTACAAACGGCTGTGACTCCAGCTTCAGGGGTCCTCTGCCGGCCTCCAGAGGCACACACACACATGTGTGCATACACGCAAAAAATAATTTTTTTTAAAATTCAACTTTAGAATAACAAACCACGCCCAGAGAAAGCCAGAGAAGATGAGCAAAAGGGGCAGAATAAGCTGGTGTGATAATTAATTTTATCAATTTAACACAAGCTGGAATCACATAGCACAAGAATCTCAATAAGGGATAGGCTGTATCAGGTTGGCCTGTGAACACGTCTGTGGGGGATTGCCTTAACAGATGTGAGAAGACCTAGCCTACTGTAGGCGGCACCATTCCCTAGGCAGGGTTAAGCACAAGTGAACAAGCAAGCAAATAAGCCTGCAAGCACTCATGTCTCTTGCTTTTGACTGTGGATGTGATATGACCTGTTGTCTCAAGTTCCTCATGTTGTGACTTCCCTGCAGTGATGGACTGCAACCTGGAATAAGACATAAACCCCTAAGTTGCTTTTTGTCAGGAAATTTTACCACAACAATAGAAATAAAAGTACAGGACAGGAGAGCTGATTCAGAGGTTAAGGGCACTGGCTATTCTTCCAGAGGACCTGAGTTCAATTCCCAGCACCCACATGCAGGCAGAATACTGTATACATAATAATAAATAAAATCTTTTTAAAAAAAAGAAAGAAAAGAAAAGAAAATGCCTTCATAAAATAGGGCTGTAAGCAAGCCTATAGGGCATTTCTTAACTGGTGATTATTGTGGTGCCATCCCTGGACTGGTGGTCCTAGGTTCTGTAAGAAAGCAGGCTGAGCAAGCCATGAGGAGTAAGCCCGTAAGCAGTACCCCTCCATGGCCTCTGCACCAGTTCCTGCCTCCAGGTTCCTGGCCTGCTAGAGTTCCTGTCCTGACTTTCTTCTATGATGGACTGTATCATGGGAGTGTAAGCCAAAGAGATCCCTTCCTCAAGTTGCTTTGGTGATGGCGTTTCATCACAGCAATAATAACCCTAACTAATACATCAGTAAAGTACTTGCTAGACAGGCCTGAGGATCTGTGTTTGATTCCCAGAACACATGGAAAAGCCGAGCATGGAAGCACACACCTATGATCCCAACACTAGAGAAGCAGAGACAGGAGGATTGCTGGGACTTGCTGACCTTCCATTATAGACCAGCTGGCTCAGGTCACCAAGGTCAATAACAGTCCCGGGCTAAAAAATAAAGTGGAGGGGCCAGCAAGATGGTTCAGGGGGTAAATATTCTTCTATTCAAACCCAGTGACCTGAATTTGATTCCTGGAAGCCACATAAAGGTAGAAGGAGACTCCACATAGTGTCCCCTGACCTTCACACTCACACACAATCATAATATTATTATTGTTGTTGTTGTTGTTGTTGTTATTAATGAATAATTTATTATTATATAATAATCATTATTTTAAAGGAAAATGATATTGAAAATCAAATGGCAAGCACTAGAGGAAGATAACCAATATTGATCTCTGGCCTCCACACACGCGTGCATACATACATGTGCACTCCCACACATACATACACTGCTGCGCAACACTTGAGAACCAGCACTTCAGAAGCACGCGACTCAGAGGCACGCGACTCGGAACAGCTATAGATGATCCTAGCTCACGCCTGGCTCTATCCCCTCTTCTCTCCCTCCTGCCTGTGTTTTTGCAGGCATGCATCCTCCAGTGTGAAGGAAAGGTCTTACTCCGTCCTCTCTGGACTGCATGTGCCAAAGTCATGGCCGGTGACCCTGGGCAGCTCAACCCTGCTGACCCAGAGCTCGTGACAGCTGCTCTTTACCAGCCAAAAGCTTCGGAGATGCAGCATCTGAAGCGAATGCCCCGGGTCAGGAGCTTGGCGCAAGCGGCAGATACGGAGCCTGGCACTGATGATGCCGACGAGGTGGAACAGAAGCAGTTGCAGAAGAGGTTTGGGGGCTTCACTGGGGCCCGGAAGTCGGCCCGGAAGTTGGCCAACCAGAAGCGGTTCAGTGAGTTTATGAGGCAGTACCTGGTCCTGAGCATGCAATCAAGTCAGCGCCGGCGCACTCTGCACCAGAATGGTAATGTGTAGCCAGAAGGAGCCCCTCCCAGCTGCACCGGCCACTGCAACCCATGAGTGAGTTGGGCACCAATTAGCAGGGGGCAAGAAGTGACCTCATATACCCAATTGTCCCAGGCCTAAAAACACATTAGCCAGCCCCAAACACACACATACACACACACACACACACACATACACACACACACACACACACACACACACACCACCCAATCCCTCTCTCTTTTCCCTACACACATCTCAAGAACTCCAGCTCTTCAGAAGCTGGATTGGTAAAGAAATTCACATCTCTGCCTCCTACCCATTTCTCCAGGGAGAAAGATTTTTCCCACTATTCTCCTTGAGGCTGACCACTCCCATTCAGACACTGGTTACCATGGGGATAATAGTAGTATGTTAAGATAACTAATTCCTTTATAGCTCTCCAGGAGCTTAGTTACTATGGGGACAGTTAAGTGGTCCAATTCTAACCGTCAGTTACCATAGCAACCATTCAGCTCACCTTTCCTCGGAGACTTTATCTGCAAAAAAAAATACCCAATAGCCAGCCCTCCTCTTAGCCATTTGCAAAAAGGCTGATTACCGCTCTACTTCAAAGAGAGCTTATCCAACTCACCCTATATCTCAAGGTGGCTAAACTCCATGGAAACCATTAATATTTCCCATTTCCCCCTGCCAAAGACCTTTGTTGGGCCCCAGAGTCATGTTTTTTGCTCTTATTTCTTCCACTAACAATTTGGTCATCCTGCACTTTGCCAAGGAAGGACCAGTATTGTGGGTTTGTTTTTTTTTTTTCATTAATGACATCCTTGCTGAAGCAGGACTGCAGAATTTGGTCCAATGGAGCTAGTAGGAGTTAGAATAAGTACTAAGGAATGAGTCTTCTTTTTCTTCAGTTTTTTGGACTCGTCCCAGGATGCCTCTTGTGTTCTCTTCCTTTGTTCCCTTCCCACCCTCTGGTATACACTTACACAGTCATATAAAGCCTCGGGAAACACACAGCAAAAACCCAGTGACTGCCGGCTGATTCCAAATCCAGCTCTCTCCCACCATCACCAGTGCGTAACTAGGGATGGCATTAGGAATCAGCACAGTGGATTTAAGAGAGTCCAACTGTCATCTGTGCCCCCCCCCCGTCCATACATGCCAGTGTGACCCTAAGCAGAGCCCCACCCATCTCCCGAGACAGCTTGGAAACACAGCCTCATACAAAGCGCGAGTTAGCTGACCATATGATCCTGTCCCAACAGAAGCTAATTCCCGTCTCTGATGCAGAAGAGAAAAACACATGCATCCTCTCTTTTCTCCTCCCACACACCCAACATAATCATCTCATTCATGGTCCTCTTTCCAGATAGTTTTCCAATGCTAATCTTTGGTGCCCACACTCTGGCACAGGGTCAGCCCCCAGTGCCCAAGCTGCTAGGTCCCTTGTTTGCATCAAATTTATCCCCAAAGATGGTCACATTTTTTAGGTTGTGGGAGAAGGTCCTGAATTTGTCTTAACAGAATGGTTCATCTCCAAAGATCCTGAGTGAACTTGCACTCCGTCCTTGACAAGCACCCAATTTCTTTCTAAGTCAGACCTGTCTGGTATCTAGTAGTAAATCTTCCAGAAGTAGCACGAATTTTTTTCTAAGTCTTAATGGCATTCTCTACAGGGGCTCCTAAGGGACACCAAAGCCCATATGTAATTCTAAACCACAACAATATTCTTTACCTAAAGACAGTTTAAGATTAGTCCCATTGGCAAGAATCAATTCATTTGAAAGAAGAAAAACTATTTGAGCCAGTCAATTGACTTTTCTGATTTTCTATTATACTTCCAGCTGAGAGGTGCTGTAACAGGGCTAATAACCGGTTTCCATCTGCTACTTTGCACAACATGCAAAGTTCTTGATGGAAACATTAGCCAGCTCATTTGGATATTATTAATGGCCGTCCTGCCGCCCTGTCACCAGCTCTCTCCCTCTCTCATCTGCGTGGGCACGGTGGTGAGTTCCGGAGTGGGTGTGTGTTAATGTGCCACACACAGCCAGCTGAGACCTTGGGCTTATCTACACACACACAGCCCAACTTGCCGCGTGCACGACAGAAATCCTTCCACTCTAGCCAGTTCCCATTGCTGTAGTTCTTCCTGGTGTTGAAGATGCCAACGCCAATCTATACTCAGAAGATTGGAGTCAGGAGAGGGGGCCACCCAACCGGTCCAAAGCGTAATAACAACGTAGGAAGACGGGGCACTGCAGTGCAGGCCCTGCCCTGGACAACACAGGAAGAAGAACATAGCAGGTCTTGGGGACTGCCTCTCCCGCTCTGACCTATCGTTCCAACGCTTGCTGCTATGTGCGGCCTTGACCCTCTAGACATCAGCAGCACATTCATGACCCCATCCGTAGTCTGCACATCTAGCCTAGAGAGCCTGCGTCACATAAAAGAACTTTGAGGACGCTGTGTTTCACATAGATGCTGAGAACTGGAGAGGGGATAAGTGGTGCTGGGAAAAGACTTGTCACTGGGCCTTTTAAGTCACTGCCCATCAGCCTCCCTTTCTATCCAACGCATCCTTCCTGTCAGTAGTAGGCAAAAGTGACAGGTAAGTGGAGGGCATTGAGTAAGGACCCCTTCTGGTCACTTTGGGATTTTTTCACTTGCTGTGGTGGCCCACTTTGGGTTGCTTTAGTCACTTGGGCAAACAGGATGGATGGCTTAGTGGACCTATTGGATTTGACATTTTGTTCCTTTCTGTCTCCCCAGGCATCCAGGTGACCCCCCGAACAGCATGTGTCCACACTCAGAAGTGCCGGCCAGGAGTCAGGATTCCTTCTTCCCTGAGGCATTGAGTACCCACAGCAACCCCCTGCCCGGTTGTTGTCCCCTCCCCATGGCATGTTTCACCACAACCTTGTTGCTACATCAGAGTGTATTTTTGTAACTCCTCCAGCTAACATTTCCACGGCCCTTCCTCTCCCTCACCTTCCGCCCTCTTCCAGGGCCAGGGGAGAGGAATGTGAAATCAGACCCGGGGTCTTGCCTTGTCACTGCCATAACCTGTTTCTAAAAGATCTGTTCTTTTTTGACCGATCGTTTGAAACAACTCTCTCCATTAAACTTCTACTGAGCAAATGGTTAATAAACTCGTTGGCTGTCTTTAGACGAGGCAATGCGGCACGGTGCAAACACACACCGTGAGAGCCAGGTGGGCAACTCCGGGGCTGGAAACTCTTAGACAGCTATGGGGACTATAAAGTTGGCGCAAGGTGACGCTGGGACATGACCACTGGGAAATGACCACGCCGAGGGCAACAGGCAAGGGCACTGTGAAGTCAGATGCAAAGGGCTGTGTGAACGCGTGAGCGGGTAGGTGATGGAGAGGGAGACAGCCGTTCTCAACCTTTGCGTCCATCCGGCTGCTCTTGGACCCTCCTTCCAGCTCTGGGTCCAGCAGGAACTTATATTTTTAACAGCTCCCAGGTGATGCAGAGCCTGGTGGTTTGGCGCCAGCGGGTTGTGACCGAAGCAAGGGAGTGGTGAACCTACCCGCCTGCTTTTTTCTCCATGCAACACTAAGCATGGTAAGGTGTGTGACTCTCGAAGTCCAGCCGGGAAACACATGGAGAACCCAATTGGAGGAAGTGACCAGTTCAGTATCTATGTAGTAGTCAGCTTTCATGGTCCATTTGCCCCTGCTGGAAGGACAGAATACAACTGTTTGTCTATAACCTCGAGGCACTAGTTCCAGGACCCCCTGTGAGTAGCAAAATCATCCATTGCGCAAAATAGCACATTTGTATATAACCTACATACAAGCTTCTGTGTATCAAAATTATTTCTATGCTCTCTACTATAACATAAATATCATGCACACAGTTGTTTTATTGTACTGTGTAGATACCAGTGGACAATTGCACCGCAAAATGGGTAAATTATGAACAATGCCTAATTTACTCTGCTCACATTTCCTGAGGTCAAAAAGCAAAAGATTAAGGGGCCTTCACTGTCCAGCAATGCTGAGACCCCAGCCCCAGAGATGGCTGCCAAGCTCAGAAGCAGCTCTCCATTCCTCTGGCTCTCTCTTCCAACAGGCACACACTCCAGCTCCTGCCTTTCCTAAACAGGATGCCAGCTTAATGCAAAAATAAAATAAAATAAAATGAAAGATACCAGATCTCCTTCCCACACTCCAGCCACCCCCTTAAAATCTAAGAGCTGAGCAGGGTGGTGCACACCTGTAATCTCAGCTCTCAAGAGGCAAGGGGAGGCCATGCTGAACTGCACAGAGAATACCGGGGAGGGGAGGGGGACCAGATAGCTCTTACAAGGGCAGCACAACCCCCTTCATACTCCAAATGTCCTTAGAACACTTAAACACATCCCCCACAACTTCCTGTGGCCTGGCTTGACAGGCTCTTGGAATGATTAAAGTTGAATAAGCCAATGTCTGTGTGTGTGGTGGGGGGTCCTTTCTGCTTCTAGGACCCTGCCAACAGAAGCCAACTTAGCTAGCATCTGTCCACAACCTGTGAAAGTCAATGCCCTGCAGAGACTACACAGAGAAGCCCTTCTGTAGACACCGTGCTATGGTTTGACATGTCTGGGGAGGTCCCCAACCTTCATGTGCCTTGATGTGCTGGAGGCATAATGTTTGGGGTGGCAGTGGGAAGTCGTGCCTGAGGAAGGGACCCCAGCCTCTCTAGCTTCCTATGTTCACACTGTGATACCTCCCTTGGTATGAGTTCCCAACATTGCCACCTGTTCCAGGAGGTGATGTGTTCAGTGCAAGACCCTGCACCATAGGGTTTGGTCTTTCAGCCTCTAAACCTCTTGCTTTCAAAGTTAGCCCACCTCGGGTATTTTATTATAGCTATGAAAAGCTGATGGATATATAGAATGTCATTTATTTTCTCCCAAGTTCCCAACCCAGTCTCCATCAGGCATAAACATATGCCCATATGTCCTCTTTTGAAAATTAACATAAGTCATAGAAAACATTCACTGCCCAGATTACAATACCAATGCCATCACCCCACCCTATCCCAGTCTGTACCCTTGGCAAGATATCAACCTCCACGCCTCATCTGTTAAAGCAGCTGTTCTCAAAGGGTCATGATCCCTTTGGGGGTCGCATATCAGATACTTACAATTCATAACAGCAGCAAAAGTGCAGTTATGAAGTATCAATGAAAATAATTTTATGGCTGGGGGTCCCAGAACACGGAGGAGGGTATTAAAGGGTTGCAGCATTAGGAAGGCTGAGCACCACTGCCATCAGCGCTCGGTCGGCTCCCTGGTAAATATGGCCCTGCTTGAATTTGTTTTAGGACTTTGAACCTAGAGCCACACAAGTGCTCCTCCAGTGAGCTGCAGTCCCTACCAAGTGGCTGAAATTATAAGTGAATGGGTCTCGATGCCTAGTGTCATGTGATATCATGTGCAACTTATTGTAGGAACAGGAAAGAACTCAGTGCAGGCACACACTAACTCAGACAATGTACCATTTTATTCCTTATAAAATATATTTCATATCATTGCTGTAAAAACATTACATTTCATTTCACATTTAAAAAAAATCTTAACAGTAAAAATAATACTTGGAAGACAGCGGGGCTGGGGTGGGGGAGGGGAAGAAGCGCCGATAAGACAAATTCACAGATGGGATTCTTTTCCCTTCTTGTTTTGCTTTAATCTTTTTTTTTACTTTTTTTTTTTTTTTTTTTTTGCCCCTGGTAAAGTCAGAACCTGGGGTGACCAGAAAGTAACAAAACAGATTTCTTTCACCAAATCCGTTTCCATATCCAATTTCACAGGGTCCTCTAAGGCGTCGAGCTATACACTCACTGTGACAAGGCAGCACTGTCTGAAGTGGCAAAAACTGCTTCCAGGGCCATGTTAAAAGCCTTATCATCTATCCAAGCCTGTGTTACCGGAGAGCCCTTTGGCTCTGTACCTGAGACTTCGGCTGGCCACAGACAGTAACCCTGGACTTGCAGAACGGAGTTGGGAATGGTGCAGACTCATTTGAGGCCGCTCCCAACATGGCACCAAGTCTGAAAGGAACTCTGAGAGCGCTCCGAACAACGGAAACAGGGCTAGACAGTTTCCAGGACAACTACTTGCAAACTAGGGCCTGTTGGTTTCAGAAGCACACCTGTGGCACCTTCACCCAGTCAGGTTCTAAAGCCAGGGGGCTGGGAGGCAGGGAGCTAGAGATGAAGGAAGCGGGCCTGGTGGCTGGGTGTGCTCACAAACCACCCTTGCCCTCCAAACCCAAAGCCAGACCATGTGACAGGAACCAACATGAAAGCATCAAGATGAAGGAGCACGGGGGAGGAGGGGGCGAGACAACAGTGGGCGGGAGGCCACCACCGCCAGAAGAGAGAGAACGACTGCCAACATGGAAGGCTGCACAGAAACAGAATAAAACAGAACTGAACAAAATCAAAACTCTCTCAGTTTCTAAGCCATCCCATCTATTTCTTTTTTCCTTTTTCTTTTTCCTCTTCCTTCTCTGCCTGGCAAGCCAATGGCATAGGAAGCCTGATTCAAATGGAGAAAATTATTATGGTCAGTTACATCTGCACGCTCCAAACCGAGGCTGGGGGATTACAATGCCTCTGCTGAAGTGGAGGCTTAGCCCACACTGGGATTAAGAAGGGGAGAGGAGAGTTTCCTGGTGAGGTCTCTCTGTCTCTATAGTCCCCTCCCCTCTCCAGTAAGATTGGAAGCTGAGCATCATGGGAAGTAAGGAGAGAAAAGAGACTTCTGCTGCCAGCTTTTAATTATCCATAAGGTTGAAGGGGCAGAAGAACCCAGGGCCGCCTCTGGCGGGTTAGGTTTGTTATAAAAACAAATCCCTACCAAAGACACTCGTGTCTCTTCCCTCTGCCAGCAGCCCAGGCTACCACTACAGCCTTCACATCACATACACAGTCTCTTAGGTTCTTAACTTAGTGTGTCTCAGACTGAAAAGCAGACGTGTGTTTCCCATGTAATTAATGTCACCAGTAGACCCTCAGTGGTCAGTCCCTGGAGAGGTGGCCTGGTGGAACTCCCTGGGCTGGGTCTGGGAAGCCATGTTCAGCAGGCGTGGGCAGAGTCTGCTAGGATCTCCCAGAGCCCACTCGGGAAAGAAGGCTTCAACATCAAAGACTCCCACTGCAGACAGGACCAGACATTCTAAAGCCTCTGTGGCACGGGAGGGAAGAGGCCTCAGGAAGGACTTCACTCAGTGGGAGCAGTTTCTGTGGAGACCCTCCACACTTCCTCTCAGAGCTGGAAGGATGCTCATGGGTAGTGTTTCAAGGCCACATTCTCAAACTTAATTCGTATTAGCCTTTTGGTTCAGTGTTTTGGGGGACAGGCTTTGAGAAGAAGCCACATGTTTACTTACAAGCAACCCAACATCTGAGGGGAGCCAGATCCAAAAGTTGACATGGTAAAAGGGTGTCCCTCTTCTGTCCCCAGAGGCTGCTCCCACAGAAGTAACCCTGCATCTCGCCAAGTACAGCCAGCTGCCTACTTTTCTCGGAGCCCTGCTACTGCTCCCTGGGTCATCCACCTGCCAGAAAGGGCTTTTCTTTTTTCTAAGAAAATGAAATTAATTTTGCTCACAGTCCATTCTGGAACAATTAAAGGAGCAAATGTTTCACCAGCTCAGCACAAAAATGGGCAAGGCATCCTGGCCTACTTTTGATGCACACAAACTAGTCCCCAAGAGGGCGGGGAGGGGGGGGGATAATTCTTTGGTCTCTGGTTCGCTGCAGAATACCCTTGGTCAATTTTGGCTCTCTCCTATTTTAGGGGGAAAAATATTTTCTTTTCTTTTTTTTTTTCGTTTTTGTTTTTTTTTAAAATAAAACATTCCCACAAGGGGGAGAAAGTGTTTTTAAGTGTTAAATCTTAGCCAAAGGAGTCCCAGCGGCCCACATCCACTCCATATCTCTCTGTGTTCTGCTGATGGCTGCAGGCCTGAAGACCTCCTAGTTGCCAGGCAGGGTGAGGAGTGGGGCTGGGAGAGGCAGGCTCAGTCCAGGAAGCGCTGGCAGGCCTTCTTCCACCGGCAGGCTGTGCACCACTGGTCCCGGTGCTCTATGCCGTACACCTTACGGCACTTCTTGGCTTCT